GGTCTTTGAATTCCAAGAAAGACCAGGACTAAAAGTAATCTTGCCTTTATTCACAGAGATTGTCTCCTCTTTGTTTCTCTTCATCTCTTAGGACAAATGCTGGAGGTAGGCCACCCCTCAGAAACCATGGCCATATTGCATTGTTAGACCCAACCTCCCTGATTAGGCCTTGGCCTGGTCTCTCTTCTCAGCCAAAGTCTTCCTCTCTGAAGCTATCAGAGAGGCCATCAGGACAGCCTGGCCATTCCCAGCTGTTTTGGTGCTCTCAGCAAGGACAGACAGTGAAAGTTAGGTTGCATTTAGTGGAACAGAAAGTCTCTTATACCCTGTTTGTAGAAGAAACAGATCGGTGCCCAAGAGCTGCAAGGTAGCTGACTTGTTTCCTTTAGGATATTCATCAGTGCAACATGTTGATGGTAACAGCCTGACAGGGTTTACTCTGCTCTCAAGATGCAGCTCGAAACAGCAGCAGCTGTTGGCAAGAGCACCTAAGGCCACTAAGTGCACTGTTAGCTTACTGCGTTCTTTGGTGCTTTACCTGAAGGTAGCTGCAGGTGAGGAACAGAGGCTGGCAGAGGTTTATTTTCTGCTGTTGTCATAAATTCCCAGTTGGGCCAACTGTATTATTGATTGCTTTTACTGGGGCAGGTGAGAACAGCTGTTCAGACAGACGCTTCGGCCACTTACGCCTCTGTGACTGTGCAGTGGACACCAGTTTTCATTTCCCTGTCTCCCAGAGGAGCAATGTCAAAGGAGTCCCTCCTCCAGCTTTACATGGAGCAGCATCATTCTCCTTGTAACAGCCAGGGCTGGGTGACACCAGGGAGCCAGAAACATCAGAGAAACCTGTCTCTGTGATGACAGAGTCCCATCTGGCTACCCACTAGCAGAGCGAGCCTTGTGCTGGTCTGTTCAGGGTGTCGGGGTGTCTTTCAGCCAAGGTGAACATCTCATCTTGCTACTGCTGCCCTGGCTGCAGTATTGCTCAGTCCCCCTTAAGCCAGAGATTCAGCAGCATTTGGTAGAGTTACAGGTTTTCATGTATCGTATTGGAGACAACAACAACAGAAGACACTGGGTTATGACAGCTCTTTTGTGGGAGATATAAGCATAAGAAAATGTCCTCTGAAGAGGGAGGAACTGACCTTCAGCCTTGTAACAGCGAGCCCTGGGCACGGTGCTGATGGTGTCACTTGTGGGTGTGACTGTGCCGCCTTCTCTCTCTCCAGGGGCTGGAGTGGCTCTGCTGAATGACCATATTTATGTAGTTGGTGGGTTCGATGGGACGGCACATCTCTCCTCTGTGGAAGCCTATAATATTCGCACTGATTCCTGGACAACTGTAACAAGCATGACAACCCCCCGCTGCTACGTGGGGGCCACCGTGCTGCGGGGAAGGCTGTATGCAATTGCTGGGTAAGTGGCTTCCCTGGGCTGGAGAGGGAGATGCCCTGCATGTCTGTTTGCTGGAACAAGTGAATTTAGGTGACTGCTGCCCTGTTTCAGGTAGCCTCTCCTCACATTTACATTTCAAGCTTTATGAGAGGAGACAGCTCACAGAGTCACCATGCCTGACTTAAATAGGCAGCGTCATGGTCCAGGGCCAAGACAGGCAGGAGAGCAGCAGCAGATGGCAAAAAGGAGCCTAATGCAGTGGTTTTA